ATCAATAAGCACAATGTCTCACTTATTCATTATAATTATTTCTTCTGTTTCTAGCATTACGTTTACAGGAATACATATAAAGAGGATGTGATTATCAGTTTGTATAAGTTGTTACATATATGTTACATATTTATCCTTTTAACAGATTTTCTCCCTTCCACAGCTTTACACATTCATCCTGTCATGTTGTGGTGCGATCACCAGCCCACAGGTTCACCTTTCCTTATGCTTCAGTTGAACTCTGTGTCTGGGTTGTTAGTTCACTTGGTTATTCACATACAGAACTAAGACACATCCACAAACTCAGCACTACATTCTGTGCTTGTAAGCATCCTGTATACAACAGAAAATTATTTCAGAGTCAAGAGCTACCAAGCCAATCTAAGGAGAGATGTAAAAACCACACTAAATGAAATTCTAGTTAAATATTTTTGAAAGGAAGCCTAAAAATAGGCAATATAAGAACAGACATCAGACTTGAGTGAAAGCCATAGCAATCAACTTACTTTTAGAAACTAAGTCAATGTCTGTTAAAGGGTCATGAAAAACATTTCATTCATGTTTAAATTATTCATTTCAGATCCAAAACATCTGGGTGATATTCAATTTGTAAAGAATTAGCATAGAGCTCTATATGAACAACTTGTACATTTAATCACCAGTAATGCCACAGTTTTATAGATATCAAGAAGCTCTTGAAATATAAATGTGTTGAGGAAACTAATTGGGGAATTCATATTGCTTATTTCAAACACAGCATCAATGAGATTCTAGTCATTATGAAGATTTTGGTGGCTATCCAAATGTGTTTCTGGGCCCACCACTGAGAGCTGTCATCTGAGAACAGATTTTAGTGTCTTTGCTGAGTGTTGGACCATCTCTCTGTTTCTCAGCTTCCTGTCTGAGAGTGATTGATTAATAACATGGACCAGAAGATCTAGTTTATATCTCATAAGTATATGAGATATTAGAAAAATATCTAATATCTCAGAACAGAAAAAAATGATAGTGTTGTTGGGGCCGGATCTGCTTAGACAAATATGTAAATAGTGTCTATCATAGTGATGAAAAGGAGTGAAAGCTGAAAAAACTACAATATCCTGAAAACTTCGTGTCTGGTTTTCAATAGGGGTGACTTTAGCTCACTTCCCTAGAGAAAATGTGGCAACCAGTGGAATCCTTTGATAATTTATTTTATGTATGTGTACATTTGTATGTGTATGGAGGGATACTCCTGTGTGTCCAACTACAAATGTGTGTACATATATATGTTGGAGTGGAGGCCAGAAGTCAACCTTAATGCTTCTTTTCAGGGCCCACCCACCTTATTGTTAAGACTGAGCCTCCTTGGGACCTGAAGTTCACTGATTTGGGATGGCTGGCTGGCCAGCAAGCTGGAGGTCCTCCTGTCTCTGCTTCCTCAGTGCTAGTGAAGAACCAGCCCAACTCCATTTTGTTTCTGGAAGCTGATTTGAGTTTCTGTTTGCTCTAAAACTTGAGTTTCGGCTTCTCAGAACTGGGCTGCACCCTACCTTAGTAACCATAGAGTGTACCATAATCCAACTCCTGGAGCCACCTGTTGTCAGGAATGTTCTATACCTATTTGTCTATGACCCACTTTCCTTAACTGCCTGGTCTTGCTTCTACAGCTATGTTTGTATGCAAAATTCCCCACCCTATGGTTTTGTCCTATAAAATAAAAGGCTTGAGAAATTGGCTCGGTGCTCATGTAGTGAACTCTGCCTTTTAGGGGAGACAGATTCAGCTTTGATGTGTACAAGAATAAAACTTAATTTCACTTGGGCATAATTTGGGTCAGTGGTCTTTTCCCTGGCATTTGTGGGATTAACACTATGATTACAAGTGCACTAGCATCCATTTTGTTTATCCTAATCAGTGTGTGTGTGTGTGTGTGTGTGTGTGTGTGTGTGTGTGTGTGTGTGTTACTCTATTTACATGTAGTGGGAAGAAACCAGAGACACGTATGAATAGACCATTAGCTTATTGACCCCACAGCAAGGAATCACCTGGCCTGAAATGTCAATAGTATTGAGATTAAGAAACCGTGAATGGAAGAAGGAATTTTAAAACACTGGTGTTATGTAAAACTTGTCTCCATCTTTTAAACAAACAAAACCACAAAACTCAATTTGATTTCATTTTAGGCCATATGAAAATATCAGTGCTGCTCATCAAATTTGTTTTACTTGATTACTGATCCCTAAGATGTAGAACCCTAGGCAACAGGAAAATATAATTGCATCGTGTCAACTTGGTTTCACGTGTTTACTGGTCCCTAAGCTATAGATTCCATATCGTAGGAAAAAAACGTGTGGGTCTTACCACTTCTGTAAGCACTTACCTTGTGCTGTGGATTGCAGACTAACTAGGGAAAAATAAATGACAAACCATAATAATAAAACATCAATATTGCCTCCATATCACAAAGGACAAACCAGAATTTGGCCATTATGTAGTTAATGTGATTAACGGGGATAACAAGCAAGACGCTTCAGGGCCCCAGTGGAACATTTGTCCTGAATTATCTGGGCCTAACTGTCCACTCTTATTATGGAAATTGAAAGAGAGCCAAATATCTTCATGCTACACAGCCAGGAACTGGGTAGTGCAATACATCAGAGTGTAAGAAGGAAAGGTAATTACGAATGATGTTATTGTTCCTAGCTTGTAATACAAATTCAAATAAGGAAAATAAGAAGACGGGGTGGGAGGGATCATCGTAGGATGCTCCATCTGTCACTTCATGGACTCAGAGACAGTGGTGTCCTGAACCCTGGAAGATGATTTTCTTTTATGCAATTCCAGCACAATTCCCCTTAAAATACAGGGTAGGGATGAAATGGGTGTGGAGCTGTTGGATGGGTGGCTTCTGCTGCTGCAGCCTGATGGCCTGGGCTGCTTGTCTACCTGAATGGGGGCAGGCTTGTTTCCACTGCTGCCTTCACTTTGAGTATTTATTGGCATTAACTGGTCTTAATTTACACCTTTACTGTGGGGAGGAGAAATGAAGTGCTTTGTAAGCTTGACAGATAGTTGTGAGTAATTTTGGTGAGGTACGGTACATTAATCACATGACTGCTTTATACCTTATAACCTATTTAACATGTTTTTTTCAAAAAGGTTCCTCTAAAATTATCTTTGTTAGAAACACAGTTATACAGGAAACTTCAATACACAGTACTAAAATTGTAGTGTTGATTGTTAGAAAAATTTTATAATTACCTGAAATATTAAAAATGAAAATTTGACACAATGTCTTTAGCAAGCTACAATATGAATTGCACCCTCTTTCATTTATTTGTTTGTGATTTTTCTGTCTACTAAGATCAATTCATGTTAATATTACTTATAATTAAATACGTTTCCACAGTTGTGCTCTTGGAGAAGATACCAACTGAGATTCTACATTTAGCTTCTGTTTTAAACTCAAAGTAATGACAGATAAAATAGAAAATTAAAAAATTTAAAAGTTCCTCCAGATCTATAAACTTAGAGAGGTAGCTTTACCAATCAGGAGCAAACATATCAGGGGTCTTTGGCTTCTGGTGCCTGATTCCAGAAGCAAGCAGTGGGGCCCGGGAGTGGCATTTCTGCCAGGTAAAATGAGCCAGAGCTTGTTAGAAACATAAACAGGCACAGTTAAGTGTAGATAGATATTTACATTTAGACATAGGTGCTTTTTATATAGCAAGTATATAAATGGGGAATGGAAAGAGATTTGGCTTTATGAATCCACCAACACAGACACTTTTGTCTGGCCGAAGACCCACTCTACAAGAGAGGTTTAAGGAAATTATTCAAGAGGAAAGAGAATAATCCAGATGGAAGTCTGGTCATACAAGGGAATGAAGATGTTAAGTGGTATGTATGTGGAGAAATGCTGAAGATATTTGTTCACCTAGGAAAATTCTCCCCCAAAAATAATTTAGTATGGGAAACTAAAAGCAATGATTTACTGTGTGGCTTATGACAGTAAGATCAGAAAGGGTGACTGACAGGGGGCAATATTTGGAGGTTGGCTGTGATGAACTGTGTTAAACTTCTGGTGTCCTATGCTTCATTCTCTTACTTTTCATTTTTAAGACTGTAAAAATATAAAAACTAGCATTATCTCCCACGCCATGCAAAGACAGGATATAGGCAGAATTAACAGGAAAAAAAAAACAATAAACTTCAATACTGGTTAAATAACATGAATCTAGTTCATTAAACACACGACACACAGTGCCAACATCAGAACTATAAGCACAGATGTTGATCCTATTCACATTAAAAAATGGTAAGTAGGAGGATATTGTAAAGGAATGTATGGCAATATTTCTGCAAATTAAAACAAGTTAGACACATTTCTTTAAATATGCAAGTTACCAACACTGACCCAAGAAGAAATAGACATTTGGATTCAAAATTTAGAATCTTTCCAAAAAGAAATCTTCAAGACCAGATGGCTTCTGTGGTGAAATTTTTCAGGCTCTTGAGGAAGAAACAATACAATTTCCACACAACTTTTTTTTTTGAAAATAAAGGATGAGGATAGCTCACTCATCCTTACACCTAGATAAGATAAAGGTGTTGTAACAAGAGAAAACCAAAGATCAAAATTCCTTGTTAACCTTGTTCAAAACCCATAACAAATTGCTAACAAATTGAATTAGAAAATATCTAGATGAAACAATAAGACCAAGTGGGTTTTTTAACCCTCAGATATAAGGGTAGTTTAGCATTGTAATCAATCACTGTCAACTTATTGATGACATGGAAGAAAGCATGCTGGCTCAGACTCTAAAAAGCGCTTGACAAAATTCATTTAAGATAAAGGTTAAAACTCATTTAAGATAAAGGTTTCTTTTATCAGCTGGGAGCAGAAGAGAATTCATCTGGTTTGATAATTACTATGGAAACTTACCACTAACATTGTACTTCATAATGGAAACCTCAATTTTTTTTTCTGTAATATTGGGAATAAGACCAGCTCTTACCATCTCTTTTTGATATTGTAATCTCAGTGACTTCATTATGGCAAGGGAGAGAAGCAAAGGACAGTGAGTCCTAGACCACATGATCATGATGCAAAAAATCCTATGAAAACAGAAAACCCAGAAATGAATCAACACAGTCATAGGATATAAGGTTAAAAGCTGACCACAGTTCTATGTGCGAGCAATGCGCAAAACTTTGGATTCTAAAAGTACTAGGATTTTTTGGCATGGATTTTCATGTAGCCCAGACTGGCCTCTAGCTCCTGCTCCTCCTGCTCCTACTCCTCTACCTTTTGAGCTCTGAGATAACAGGCAGGTGACACCACATTTAGTATATATGGTGCTGGGAATGAACTGTGCACACATGCCAGGCAAGTGTTCTACCAACTGACACAGGGCCCCAGCCCCTAAAAACATTCATATTCCTTTAATAGCATCAAACTATGAAAATATTGAAAATAAATTTGATAAAATGTATCAAATGCATGCTTCAAACAACAAAACTTGACTGAGAAAGAGCAGATCAGACTCAGGCTAATTGAGATACATACACAGCGACCATGGATTAAATGACTCAAGATTTGTAGCTAAGATGTTGGTTATCTACAAATTGATCTCCTTGTTCAATATCATCTTAATAAGAATTTATAGCAGGCTTTTTCAAAGTTTTTCTAGAAACTGGCAAGTGATTTAAAAATTTGCATAGAAAAGCAAAAAGCCAAGATTGGCTAAGATAATTTTGAACATGAAGAACCAAGTTGCAGGGCCCATGCTATCTGATTTTGAATTTTATTGTGAACTATAGTAATTAATACAATGTAATATTGTCAGAAGGGTAGACAATTGGATCAGTAGAGTGAAAAACAGTGACAAGAAATAGAACCTCACATATGTGGTCAATTACTTTCCTATAAAAGTGCCAAGATAACTCCAAGGGGAAAATAGTTTTTCAACCAATGATGCCATTACAACTGGATCTCCATATGGAAATAAATCTTTCGCCATATGCAAAATTACTTCAAATGTACTATAGACTTAAACATTGAAAAACAAAAACTATAAAACCTCCGGAGGAAAACCAGAGAAAATCTTTGCAACCTTAGGCTAGGCAGATCTTTCTAAAGTGGGACACAAAAAATCACAATGTAAAATAATAAATAAATAAATAAATAAATAAATAAATAAATAAGACCTCACCCAAATCAAAACCGCTGCTTTGCTAAAAGTAACATCAAGAAAATAAACAGATATTCCACATATTGTGTATGTTTTAGGGGAGTGGGGGCTGCCACAATACCTATTTTTTTGGCGAAATAAAGGGGAAAAAAAGAGATCAGGCACTTCTCAAAAGATAAGCAAATAAATATCTCAGGAAAAGATGTGGAACATCATTGCTGGTCAGAAAAATTGTTATGACAAGAGACCCCCAAACCTCAGGAGGATGTTTGAAATCAAGCTTTGCTAAAGATCTAGTGCAACTAGAAATCCCATATATATGATGGAGTGCTAAAGGGCATAAAGACTTTGGAAAACTATCTGACACTGTAGGTGCAGTTGAGTATACATTCCCCATATGATCCCACAGTTGCACTCCAAGGCATTTACCCAAAAGAAATAAAATTTACATAAACATAAGGATAGGTAGTTGTCCAATAGTATAAATGAAGAAACAAATCTTGACATACACATACGATGAACTACACACCACTCAGCAAGAAAAGAGACCATAACCAGTGTCGTTATGCATAAACAGGTCTCTAAAGCATTCTACTTGGTGACTGACAAAATCCCAAACACCAAAAATTATATATCACATAATTTCATTTGTACAAAAATCTAGAAAAGTCAGCTCTATCATGCAGTAGTGGAAATAGAAGGAGTGGTTCCTTGAGGGTACATAGGTGAAGAGGCCCAGCAAGACAGCTCAGGGGATAAAGGGGTCCACTGCCAAGCCTGATGATGGTGGAAAGATAAGACTGACTGGTACAAGTTGTTCTCTGGCCTACATGTGCACTGTGGCATGCATGGACCCCCACAAAAATGCACAGTAAATAGATAGATAGATAGATAGATAGATAGATAGATAGATGGATGGATGAATGAATGAATGAATGTCAAAAGGTAGAGAGCTGGAAAGTTTTGCAGTACAAACAGCATGAGAGACAGGCAGTGGGAAGAGCAGAAATACTGTACACTAGAATTGTGGTGTTGGTTTCACAAGTTACACGTTGTAGATTTCAACACTGTATACTTCAAACACACAAACCTTATATTTGATAGCATCGTTGTCTCAATTAATTTGACTTTTAAGAGTTCAGTTTTGGTAACTGCTAAATACTTTAAGAGTCGGTTGGCAGAGCCAATGGGATCAGAAATGAACTTGTTTTTTTAATTATATGTGGCTAAAAAGTATTTATCTTTTAGGCACAGATTTCTTGGCATGGTTTTTGATAGAGGATTTGCCTATGTTGGTAGCATGTATTTTGTGTACAGCAAGGCTTAGAGAATGTATATACTTGTGTTTAGTATCAATACAACAAATAACAGGCTGAAACTGTTGTAATATGAAGTTTGTTTTGACTGGAATTATAATTGATGACTTACAACCTTTCCTGAGGGTACATAAATAATACTAATTAAAAGGTTTTTTTAAACCTATATTCAGTTTTTGTTTAAGGACTCTAATGTTCTAAATGCTTTATAATTTTTCACTTAACATATTATTATCAAATAATGTTGGGTTTAAGTTATTCTTCACATTTGTGTCTTTCTGTATATACCAACTGACCCATTTTCTCTGCTACTGAAATAAATCTGAGAAATCTAGGTTTCTATAACATGAATAATAAGACTTTCCTTATTATTCTAATAAGGATACTGGATGTACCAAAGGTGTAGGAGACCAGCTCCAATCTGTCAAAGGGTTCTTGGGGGGAAGAGTGAGGAATGAGGAAGTATTAGGTAGAAATACAGATGGAGACAACAAGAAAGACAGAGACAGAGGATAGCTTTAGGAGGACCCTAGTTTAATATTCAGTTGCCTCAACTTTATTCATGATGGGCTTTTTATACACCAGCAAAGGGAAAGGCAAAAAACCTTCCCCTTTCAAGGTGGAGGTATAAAGTACCAACAAGTGTAGACCCTTCAAAACACCTGGTAACCACGCCCTTAGCCAAATCATCCTATTATGCAGCTCTGCTGGGCAAAGAAAGCTCAGACTTTCTGACCTTGAGTAAGGCCTTACTGGGGAGCTTCTGTGGGCCCCCACAAAAAGGTAAACTAAAATAAGTCTGTTCATACGATAAATAATATAACTCTTGTGGCACCAATTTTAATATACTTTGGACTCGAAGTCAGAGAAAGGATAACAAGTAAGAAAAGGATGGAGTTACAGGTGAGGATAAGCAGTAGAGCTCCCCAGAGCTGGGCAAGTTTGGGTGTGGTGCGTTGGGAGGCCTGCCACGCCCTGCAGTCCACAATTGTCTGAGAGCAAGTAGATGACATCCAGATCGCCCCTGTATGTGGGAAGAGAACTGACTGAGAGATGCTGCAGAGCCTGGCTGCAGACTGATGCAGGCTCTTTAATATCCTAGTGAGATCAAGCCAGGGCTGATACCTGAAGCATACAAACTCTCCTATGAAGTCTAGCTCATTCCAGTTTGAGACATGTAGAAAAGCAGTGTCTCCAGGGATACCCACAGGTTTGTCTGGCAGCATATGGGTGGCGGGCAGCGTGGTTTCTGAGTAGGTACCAGCATGCCTCATTATTTCCCTCTTGCTGACAGGAAAGAGATGAGCACTTATTTTGACTCCCTGGATCTTTGCTTGTGATTATTTCATCTGATGTCCATACTGCTCACATTTTCATAACAGGAAACCAAGAAACTGATTCAGAAAAAAAAATGTCACCTGCTTAAGCTCACACATTGTCATTTAGAGTTAAGGAACAAACTCACATCTATCTCCCCTCAAAACTGTCCTTTCCACGTCTTTGGAGAACTAGCAGGTCATTTTTGTCAGTACATCAAGAATTGGAAAGACCTTTACAGATAGGTTCATACTGGTGAAATCCACAGGAGGTTGAGTCATTGAGTTCTACTTTATAAATACACAATGAGAAATCAAATTGACAAGGAAGGCTATAGAGCATGAACCAGCATTCGCTAACTAAATGCAAGGGATGCTTTGAAAGCAAAATGACATTTACAGTATCCCTTAGTGGATATAAACCAGAAACAAAGGACCAGAGTAACTCTTCATATGATGAAACCCTACCAAGAGCCATTCAGTTTGCCTTCCTCACTGTGAATGGCCGACTGTTGCTGTAGACTCTCTTATCACACAGATCACCACGTCCCTGGAAGACTACTTACGGTAATCTAAGAAGTTTGATCAAAATGCTACTTGTATAAGGATTTATCCTTGGGCTAAGGGTGTAGATTAGTGATGTTCATGCCTAGTTTGTATAATGCCTCCAGTTTGACTGCTGGCACTACACATGCATGTGTTTGCATGAGTGAGCATGTACACATATGTACACACACACACACACACACACACACACACACACTAGTTTCTCCTAAACACAAAAGCATCCTATGCCCTGTGAATTCAATTTTAAAGCTTGTTTTTTAGGAAGAGAAGTTCCCTGCATGTATTAGTGATAAGATGACTTTCAGAGAAGGATTTCTGCGTAAGAGCAGATTTTGGTCAAAGCTAATGAGTATGTAGTTTGTATATGTTTCAGACTTATAGAGGGTGAGCCAAGTCTTGTATCTTCTGTCAACCATTTATGGCTGGCTCCATGGCTACAGGTCGAGGAGCAAAGGGAAAGATGTAGTGCCTTGAGGCAGATGGCCTCTCTAAGCCCATCGTGGCTCCTCCTGGCTCAGTGATCATAAGCAGAGGCTTAACCTCTGCATTTCAGAGTCTCTCTTTTATAAACTGAGGATAACTGAAGTACATTTATTATAGTGAGTGTGTGAGGGTTAAAAAGACTGATTACATATACAGTTCCAGACAGTGCTCAACAAAGAAGATTCGACACACATTAGTTTGCTCTCTGAAGGCCTGTGGCCGCTCACGCTCCCAACTTCTCT